AAAAAAAAAAAAAAGGGCTTTATTGCAATTATAAAAGAGCTGTTGGAAAAAGCACTGGATGCAAATTATTTGACACACTGTCGGAGAGTGTGGAATGTTCAGATTTGCCGTTCATCAAAATGAGTTCACCACATTTGGAAACAAAAACAGCATTTTCCCCCTACTTTTTAAAAGAAGGCAGTTATATACATTTACAAGCAGAGGAAAGAAAAAGCTTTGGGCTTACAGAGGGCCGAGCTTTGACAGTCCATTATCCAGTGCTATGTTCGGTGAGTGTGCACAGGACTTGTAACACAGAGCCTGGACCTTGAAAGCCCTGGCTTTGGGGTTTGTATAGTGAGTGAGGCTGCCACTGTCATACTAGGCAAACAGACTTCTGCGGCCTAGCTTTGCACTCTTTTGGCTTTTACTTTCTCTCTAGAGCCAGGATTTCGAGAATAATTTGGACTCTGGTATGACTGGCCAGCGGAAATCACTGTGCCAGATCGGCTTGTGACTATACTTTATTCTCATTAGGATGGAAAAGCGGGCATAGTGTAGTCTGCAAGAGGACAGTTGTGATAAATCTTGGTTTAATTACAGCTGCCAGTTTTTACAAGTGTCCCCTTTAATAAAATGAAAAGTCAATGGGTCGTCATCACCACCTGAAGGAAACAAATATGGGTGCTTTAGTCCAGTGGTGTACGTAACTAGTGTCTGCATTTCAGACTTGTTGTCCCTTTTATTCAAATGCAGCATAACAGGAAGTAAATAATATCCTACCTATCCTAAATAGAGTTTAGGATTTCTTCTTTTTCATTTCCCCAGTGTTTTGATGTGACACTCACATGGAGTGACTTTGTCACCTTTAATATTGATGTATAATTAGGCACCAAAAAGAAATATGATGTAGTGCTTCCTTTTGCCAGAGATCTTTCTTTAGTCCTAAAATCCCAGGCAGTTGGTCGAACCCTGAAACATTACATGGTGTTTCCGTCAACCAGTTATCTCAAACTGTACTAAACAGATTCAAAAATCATTAAAACAGAAATAATGGGAGGAGATAAAAAATTGATTCCAATTCTATAATCTCTTCCTTTTCTATAGGATCTAAGGGGTAAATGTTTATGGAAGTTCTCATAAGTTTGAGCAGTGCAGCCAGAATAATCTGATCAAAATCTCTAATATCCAATAGTGGAGTCATCAAAATGGATAAAGAAATAAAAATTCCATTATATTTCACTGTGATCTGGAAATATTCAGCTCCCCTTAAAAACGCATCTGCCATAAACCTCATATTAGATAGCCTGTCTAAACCATATGACTACCAAGCAGGACCAAATTGAGTCCTTCCTACCCACGGGCGCATTGGTCCCCCCGGCCCCCAGTCTAGCTGTTCAGAACTAAGCTCGGGACAGGTGCCATGAGTCATCTTTAAAGCAAAATCTTTCAACACCTCTTAGAAACTTGTATTTGCCAGCCATGCTACAATTGATTCAAACTGAAGACTATTGAGTACACCCATAATTAGTAGTTTCCTAGTCTTACATACCCTGTGTCTTCATAAATTTTCTTTCGGTTGATGACAGGCTTCAATGGCTGAGAATAGTATACCTCTATACACTACCGCTTCCATGGGAAATCCCACTCTGGGCAACTTAGCCAGCGCAATACGGGAAGAGCTGAACGGGGCAATGGAGCATACCAACAGCAACGAGAGTGACAGCAGTCCAGGCAGATCTCCTATGCAAGCCGTGTGAGTATCGTCCACCCAAAAGGTCTTTGCTGTCAGACCCTAGTCTCCCTGTGTGCACACAGCCTCTCTCTGGGCTTTATATACCTTTTCTGTGATTTCCAGTTTCCCAGAACCAAGCTAGAAGTTTGTACATCGAGAAATGTTCAGCGTGGTTAGTGCATAAAAGGACTATTTGCTAATTTTCCCGTAAAAGCAATTCACAGCAATAAAATGGGTAGCGGGTTTACTTTTTTCCTCTGCTTTATCATTGCAGGCCATTACTTAAGCCACACTTCTTTTTCCTCCTCAAATTAATATACATCCCTATGAAAAAGTTGGCAGTTTGTTCAACATTCGGGCGTGCTGAACGTAACCGAGAGAAAAAGATGCTTGTTTACTCGGTGGTGCTCTAAGGTTAACCACGAACACGCCGCCGCAGCATTATTACCAACCGTTAATGACGGCACAAATGAAAGGCGGCGTGATTTATAGATTGCTCTTAAAATATCAAAAGGAAAATTAATAGAAGCATGATGGCAGCAGACGGCAGTATAATGAGCGCACATATAACTGAATGAAGTGATGGGCGATGGTTGCCCATGCTGAATGTGAATGGCACCAGGACTGTAAACCACAGGAACGGCAGAGGCCAGGGGACTGTGACGGCCCTGTGAGCGGGTGATGGGAGAAAAGTTGTTGTAACTAGACACCCCTCTCTCCCAGGAAAAGTTTTCAAACAGAGGGAAGAAACTACATTCGTCCAAATGATTGGCCTTGCTGGAAATGCTGTGAAATGACAGTCTCTCCCTTTTAGTGAGTTTCTTGAAAACGGTCTTCCATTCTAAGGAACTAACCCATTTCATGTCTGCAATATTGTCAGTTTCTAGAATAGGCTGCATGTCTACACATTGCTTCTGAATTACTGACCAACGTCTTATGTTAATATAAGTAATAGGAATGGAAAATACGACCTGTAACAATTAGGAACAGACAAAATGGGCATCTAATTACAAAGAAAAAAGTGTTATCCACCAGCATGATTTGGAGGGGATGGGGGAATCTGAAATTTCATTTTCTAGCATTTGAATTTCATCCCTACAGTACTTCAAAAAGCATCTTTACTGTTCTTTGCAGAAATGGAAATAATCATTTTTAATTTATATGAACAGTATCTTAGCATTTACTTCACAGCGTTTTAAGAATGTGTTTATCTTTCACACTGATGCTGCTATATTTCATCCTTTCCAAAGCAAGTTAGTGTTTCCGACTTTCTCGTTATCACACTTGTATTCATCTGAAATCATTGTCATGACAGGAGTATTTACTTAGATACTAAGGAATTTCAGAGCAAATGTAAATTGGCATATAAGCTACTACAAGAAATACTCATTAGAGCAAAACCGAAGTTATTGAATGGAAGTGATACTATTTCTCATAATCTGTACAAACTCCCAAAGTTTTGTTGACATATATTCCTATTTAGTATAAAGAATCACTGAAACAAAACAAAAAGATATTTGGATACAAGCCACAGGCACCAGTTCAGAGTGATACTGATTTTGCTGTACAAAAGAACATCACTGCAGGCTTAATTAGTTTAACAAATTTGAATTAACCTCAGTATTACCCAAACCATGTTTTACAACAGTCTGTGATTTTTGATGAAATGAAGGTTTCGACTATTTTTTAAAAGAAACCCTAGGCAAAGATGTCAAAATGTGTTGCTCAAATCTCACAGGTTTGTGCTGTTTGCTAAATGTGATTATATGTCAACCGCAGATTCCCTGAGCCTGCTATCCGTGTCATAGACTGTTACCCTTTCTGACCTCATACTTCCATTAAGGGACTTCTGTAATGACAAGAGTTTCCATTCTTGTCCAGTATGCATTACCCTGCTATGATGCAAATTGTTTTTCAACTGTTCAGTCTATTGGAATAAATCAAGCCGTAAACTTTACGGCACGGTTTGAAGGGCCTTGTTAGGAAGGCAGCCTAGCTGATAGTGAGTGTTGAAACAGAACTCTTCATTCTTACCCTCTCTGTGACACTCAGATACCACTACATTTCCTTCCTCCTTTGAAACACTAGAAAGTGGTCACATAATTATGGTTTTGGGGCATTATACTTTTAACCTGATAGGCGCTAAAGCAAAATACTCCATGCTGTGCATACACCCCCCAGAACACAATGCCTTTAAACACTAGTCAGCTTTATTTTAAAACTCTTGTGTTCCCAGAGTGGCAAAACAAAGGAATTACTCAGATGTAAGGAGAAGGGAAATGTGTGGTTTTGCGCACAGTTATTCATTGGTAGCCCTTTCGGAAATGGGAGTTGGGGAGAAAGAGTGGGGGCAGTGTCTGCAAGGAGAGGAAGGTGCATTGTACAGCCCTAACTTCTAGGAGACACGGTGAGCATATGTGAAGCCTAGTGTCTCAGATAGTCTGCATCTCATCTGAAATGGATCTTTCATGGAATCCCATCTTTTATTCCTTGAAGCACTGCATGCCTGTGCTCCACCTTTTTGCGACACCCCAGGGGCATCTGCCAGTACTAGAAAGTGTCCTGAAATTGGATTTCATTTCTCTGGAGTTTAGAAACCTTACTGTCTAACCTGGTTGTGTCGCCAGGTGGTCACACGGTAGATCTAGCTAGTTAACATTTGTTTGGGACCCACTCTGATGAGGCACTGGGAGTTGACCCAGCAGGGATGACAGGGTCATTACCTCTGTCTTCAGGATAGTAAATAATCCTAATAAATTTTGGCTACAATTTAGGGAGAAAACTTTTTTTTTTTTTACTTCTATAGCTTCTAAAATCAATATATCATACCTGTACAGATTGGGGGGGGGGATTTGTTATTTTGATACATGTATACAATGTGAAATGATGAAATGAGGATAACTGGGTAAACAGAATATTCTCTGATGTTGTGAACTGTGTTTTGTGGGGCTTTACATGTATCTGATTTTTGGGGTAAGATTAACAAAATATTTGTCAAAGTCTAAAATTACACAGCAAGAACGTCATTGAGATGGAGATGGTTCTATTTCTTCTAGGGGGTCCCCCATCCTCCCTCTCCCTCCCCAAAGTCTTATATGATCTTACATTCTTATATCATTCAGTTCTGGATTGTAAATCTGAAAAGATTAATAGAACTGATAAGAAAGTAGGAAAATGTTGATTTGGAAAACAACATTTGAACCTCAATAATATGGCTAAAACACAAATTTCGGTAATTCATAAAAGTTGCAGTTCTCAGCAATAAAAGTTTGAAAATGAAACATTAAGAAATGTTCACCATTGTCAGTAATTCAAGAAACACCATCTAAGGTAACCTGAGCTTACCTTATACCTGCTAAGCAACAAAGTATTTTTTAAAATAATGCTTGCAGCTGATGAGATTGAGCTTAAATTGATAGCCCCTTTGGAAGTTAATATCACAATAAATCATAAGAACCATAAAGATGTTTTGGCCTTTGCTCTAACAATTCCGTTCTTAGAAATTTATCCTAAGGAGGTAAATCAACAGAAGTAAGAAGATTAATGGATAAAAATGGTCATTGCATTATAAAAACAGTAAAAGGAAAAAAAAAGATGATCCTAAAATGCCTAGTATTAAGAAACTGACATATTTCAACACAGTGGAATCTCATCTAGCCATAAACATTATAAACTGTAAAGCTAAGAAAATAAAAAAAATACTATTCTGAGTTTACAGTATTTTAAAATATGACTCCAAATAGAGATTGACTAAAATAAGAAAACTGGCCTTAATTAAGGGTTTGTGTTTTTTTAAGGAGTAATAATCAGTATACCTAATTCGTCCTAAAAGAATGTAGAGTATCCTAGCAAGGCTCTTTCTGTGACATGCAGTCACACAGGATCTCGTGCCTAAAAGGACACTACACTTGATTTTATGTGTTCTTTTTATTACCTTATTTTATTTAGAGACGGGGTTCTTGCTGTATTGCCTAGGCTAGACTCAAACTCCTGGGCTCAAGTGATCATCCTGCCCTAGCCTCCCAAGGAACTTGGACTACAGGCACACACCACCACACCTGGCATGCACTTGCTTTAATGGCATTTCTGTCCTGAAATTTTAATTTTGAGCCAAGGACATCAGATTTTCATTTTGCACTGGCCTTTGCAAATTATGCAGCCAGTCCTAATTCTTACTGCAGAAACACTAATATGGCCATTAAAAAAAATCCCCATCCCTAATGTTTAATACAGACTGATGGGAGGGTGACTCCCCTTGCAGCCTTCCTTGCACAGATATACAACTGTTTCCCATAAATAAAAGTATCGGGCCAGGCATGGTGGCTCACGCCTGTAATCCCAGCACTTTAGGGAAGCCAAGGTGGGTGGATCACTTGCAGTCAGGAGTTCAAGACCAGCCTCACCAAAATGGTGAAATCCCATCTTTACTAAAAATACAAGAATTCGCCAGGTGTGGTGGTGGGCCTCTGTAAATCCCAGCTATTTGCAAGGCTGAGCCAAGAGAATTACTTGAGCCTGTGAGGTGGAGGTTGCAGTAAGCAGAGATCCTGCCACTGCACTCCAGCCTAGGTGACAGAGCACAACTCTATGTCAAAAAATAAATAAAATAGATGCAGAGCCATACATAAAATGTAATATAATGCAACTTTGCTATATTTTGTTTTGCAAATCAAATAGTTTTTACGAATAAAAGCATTATTTTTTAAGCTATTTATCTATCATCGTCTAGCCCCCAACTCCAAATGCTCTCTAAGCTGTGCTGATTTTAGAGTCAATTGATTCTGAAGGTTCCTGTCTTCAAGAGCAGTCCAAAGCACTCCTCTGTTTGTTTTTAAATGGTTCAAGGGGCCTTTGGGGTTTGCATACAGCATCAATTATTTAGGAAGCCAACCATCCCCATTACCACCTCCTATTACTAATACTTGATAATGTCAATTTAAAAATCTTCCCTTCTGCAGCCTGTCCCAGAGATGGGACTGTTTTTAACTTGAATGGTTTTTTACGTATCAAAAGCCCCTGCAAGACAAAGTCATTTGTATTTGCAAAGAATCAGTTGTAAATATGATTTACGAACAACACTTCTCAGTTGTTATCCGAGTAGTTTTGTGTGATCACCCCAGTTCCCCTCCGGGTGAACCACGGTCTGGTTCATAATTAGAAAGTTGGCAGATCTCACCGCAACCTCGAGCATCCCAGTGGCTGCTACCAGCCGGGCCTCATGTTTTGCCTTGTTTACAGCTGACAGTGTTATTATTCTGATCGTGGCTCTGCTTTCTTATCATATTGTTGTGTTGAGCGAGCCTTTTCCTCTCCGTTTGTGTTTCCTGGCAGGGCTTTTCTTGCCTTATTGACAGTTTGTAAAAATATGCATTAATTTGGAGTTTCAAGCATGTATCATGGTGTCTCTTTGCTGTGTTTGCTTGAAGTTGATTAATGATAGACCCTCGCTTGGGGTCGTCCTCTGGAGAGTTCTTTCACAGGTTCTGCATGTTAACTAGCAAAGCAGAACACACAGCAAGCCATGATTAGCTCAGCCTCCTGTGCTCAGTGGTCCCCACAAACTGCCGTTGCATTAGAGATTCTTGTTTCATGTAATTATTTGAAGATCGGTATTCATCCACCCAGGATGCCACTAAGGGGCCTGTTATCTGGTACTAAAAGTGTGGTTCTAGGACCCACAGCATCACCTGGGAGCTTGTTAGAGATGCAGAGTCCCAGGCCCCACCCCAGACCCGAATCACACAATGCATTTCAGCAAGGCCCCCAGGTGACTACAACCTTAAAGGTGCATTAAAGTATGAGAAATGCCACCAGAAAGGAGAGGCCTGTACCTGTCTAGAGATTCGTCATTCAGAGCAGCACTACCCAGAAGAACTTCCTGCAGTGATGGAAATGTTCTGTCTCTGTGCTGTCCAGAATGGTAACCGCTAGTCACATGGAGTCTCTGAACATGTAAATTTTGGCCAGCACAACTTAGAAACTGACTTAAATTGTATGTTAAGATTTCATTCCTTTTAAAGAGCCACGCGTGGCTAATGGCCACTATACTGGACACTACAGTTGTAGTTCTAGAGTGTGGCTTTCCTGTTGCCCCAAACTTTTAAGTGCCCCTGGGCTGCAATGGGCTGGAAAGTGCCCACACTGAACCTCTGCTTATTTTTTCCAGGCATCCTGTACACGTCAAAGAAGAGCCACTCGACCCAGAGGAAGCTGAAGGGCCTCTGTCCTTAGTGACAACAGCCAACCACAGTCCAGATTTTGACCATGACAGAGATTACGAAGACGAACCAGTAAATGAGGACATGGAGTGAATATCGGGGTGGGCCAACCTCGAGAATGAAGATTGGGAAAAGGAAAAAAAAAAAAAAAAACACACACACACACGTCAAAAGTTAGCAGTGAAATTGTTCTCCATTTGTTGTACAGTCTGGAGGATTTTCACTACATTTTGACAACTCTGAAATGTGTTAACTCTTAGTGCCATCAAGAACCCCATTTGGGAGTATTTTTGATTTTTCTACTTTTTGTTGAAAAAAGGAATTTGTACTCTGTGCATTGGATGGACTTGTTTGGTACTTGGGATTTTCCTCTCTTAACCGTCAACATCAGTGTTGTAAATTTGCTAAACTGATTCACTTTTAGCAGCAGACTTTGAACTGCAGTCCTGCCAACGTTGGACACTGAGGACGCCCGACGGAGCTTGTGCACCTAAGCTGCAGACCAAGCCTTTGCCCAGAATTTAAGGATTCCAATGGACGACCTATTTGCACAGTACTGCATGTTGATTATC